GCCCAGAACTGAACACAGTACTCCAGGTGAGTACTTCTTCAAGAGACAGCAGCAACACTCACTAAAGGATGGCAGAATGCTGAACTGCACCTTGGAAGTAAAACACTGACAGATGATAACATGTCTGCAGCCACATGCACATTCGCCACTACCCACTAAGGGCTGTCTCCAGTACTCATTCTTCAGAGCAACTCACCGTGCTAAGAAGTGTGATTATTTATCTTGGACATTCCTTGAATCACCCCTACCTACAAGGAAATACTGTGCATGTTCTTTCAGGATAATTAAGATTGGTACCTCCTGGACATATCACATAGCACGCGATCAGCTTGTGAACACGAACTGCTGGTGATTAAGGAAAGAAATAGAAATTCCTCATGCCTGCAGATTTATACCCCTCATAATCAGTCTTTTGTGTCCTCCACCCCAGGAGGGACAATTACCTGCAATTGGATGCTCAAAATTGGCTATGTACTGTAAGATTTAGTAGCTTTGCATCCCACAGTCTGAAAAAAAAAGCTGCTAAAAACAATAGTATAAGTGATACACATGACCACACGAGCATATGTGTACATATGCTTTACACACACACACACACACACACACACACACATATTTTTGTCTGCAAAGTCCCAAATGCTAACTGCTTTGGCTGGATTTGCTTACATTTAGATGTTTTGCTCGGAGAGGAGTCCATAAAAAATTATTTGATCAAGCTGATGCTTCTCCCACTGCGGAAAGCACAATGCAGCAAAGCTCTTTTCCAGCCCAGTTTGTACTCCCCTGTGAAAGGCCAGCAGATAGCAGAGTTAATGCCACAGTGGGCAGTTTCTGCAGGGCACAAGTGCAGAGACCCTCCTGTTGGTTCTCATTTGCAGTATCTGGAACAACACAGAACTTGCATTTCAAATAATAAATATTTGTCAACATCTTAGCTCAGTAGGTACATCCTATCCTTATTAACTGAAATTCAGAGCACAGAAATAGGTTAAGTCTTCTTACCAGCTCAAAAGAAACTTCACTTTTCACACCTCTTCTGTTCCTTGCTAGTTTAGTCTATGTGACTTGATCAGGCAATAGCAGCAGGGGTGTAATAAAGCTGAGCTTACTATGCCTGATTTTATAGATAATCTCAAGAGCCAATGAAAATCCATTCAGAGATTATCAGATCAAGTTAAAGTAGCCACATCTGCAATTTCTATTTAGTGATAGAAGTGAGGAATTTATTTTAAAGGGTTAACATTTAGAGGGGCAAATGGTTTGCTGACTACAGAATTATCTTCTCAGAACATTCATATAAACAGCTTTTATGCTGGCACTTTAATGAGGAGGAAACAGAAAAGCCTAAAACCATTTCTTCACTCTGGCTGGGTACAAGCAGACTCAAGGCCTGGACCCAGCGGTGCTTACACAGCAAGAACATTCCTGCCCCAGCTTCCCTCTACCCTCTGCCGCGCTGCACCCCAAGCAGCAGTGGCAACTTGTGCAAGGACAGATCTTCCCATGACCAGCCACAGTATTTTGGCAGTGGCAGGACGGCTGGACTATTGATTTCCTTGAGCACACAGTTCTAACACGAGACAAGAGGAAGAGGGAGGCAGGTGCAGCATGGATTGAACAGCAGTCTATTAGTGCTGTCGCAGGGGGCCAGGGACTGCATAAGATGGAGATGTGTTTCCAGAGTTGCATCTGAAGTGCTGCGAGTGACTGATGATGTTTCTCCAGGACCTGCTGCTGGCCCCTCTCCACCTAGCCCCAGAGACTCAGAGCATCCCTCACGTCAGTATTCCAAAACAGAGTACTTTTTCTGACAAGAGCATCACAACCTGCTATAATTTACTTTTCTTCCATACTTCCTACATTCCTCCATGCCCTTCCTATCCCAAGGACCAATAATGACAGCCCTGCACTCTACTGTGAGATTCCTTTTATACTTTCTAGCACCCTTTTCCACCTGAGTGTCCCACAATTAACCTCATCAGGCAAGCAGTGTTTTATCCTAAGGCATGTCTAACCCATGGGGGCTCATACTTTCCATCCAAAGTATTCCCTTTGCACAGACAAGGTTTGTCGAATCCCACCAACCCAGCACAGATGTGCATGGAGAACTCCGGTGCTCTTGGCATGCTGTGGAAGCACTGGTGGCAGATAGGAGAAGCAAGGAGAGATGCAGGAACATGTGGCAGTTGCTCTTCCCTTGACTTTGTACAGAGATTCACATTTCTGAGCCTGAGATGGTCTCAAACATTCTCATCTAGAGCAAGATTCCCACGTTTGCCTACAGCTGTGCTTGGATAGCAAGGAGTACTAATCTAACAGAGCACCCAGTACTATAATATGGGACTGGTTCTGTATCCAGACCATGCTGTGACTCAGGAACATGCAGCTATGGAAGGGCATGGCACTGCCCACGCAGACCRGGTATGCAAGCCAGTAAAGTCTCGAAAGTCTCAAGGCTGCTATCCTGTCCCTGGTCATTGTGAACATGGCACAAAGCATAGCAGCCACTGGCAATTGAAGGACTTTGTCTACGTGGCTGGTCTGCATCTTCTTGCTACCTCACACTTCTTGCTCACCTCACAGGCTCAGCATGCAATTAAGCCTCCCTCTCCTACATATGCTGAAGTGAGAGCACTGGGTTCACTGTGCATGGCAGAAGCAGCTAAGTGGATTCCCCTGAAATTCAAGTGCTAGGAGGCTATTGCAATTTCTGATTCTTTGAGGTCTGCTTCGCTAAAACTTTAAATATCAAATGCCTTTATCATAGGTCCTTCCTCTGCCTTCCGCTGCTGTGGGAACGTGTTGCTCAAGGTCCCTGAAAGGTGGACTGAAACCTTCTACAGATAGCAGATTTGAGAGCAGATTTCTAGAGACACAGGTCCCAAGCTGCCAGGAGATAGAGAGAGGACAGAAAAATCACCTCACAAATATGGAAAAAAACAAACAAACAAAAAAAAAAAAAAACCCAAAGTTTTAACTGTGTAGCTTCAAAGGGAACAGTCTCCCTTACTTTCACATCCTTTTGCCACATATAAAGCAAACTGTTCTCTGCCCACAAAGTCTGCCTTTAGAGTGAGCAGAGGCTGCTCCCAGGCCCACAAAGCAACAAATTTCTATTATATCTGCAGCTTCAGATGGCGGAGCTGCAACAGCAATAGCTCCTTGCCTCTGACAGCTTACCACAGAAGAAGGCAAGAAAAAGAAAGATATGAAAAGAAAGGGGAGAAGGAACCAGAAGAGTAACATCTTGGCAAAGAAGGAAGCCTCCTGAGCTAAGGGTATGTTTGAGGAAAGCTAGTGTCTGTAGTTTCAAAGACAACATGACAGAGACTGTAGTTACTCTGGATAATCAAACCAAGAATGTGGATGAATAGAGATGAATTCTAACAGCACTSAATCTCTGACTGTTTCACCATTCACCTGTGAACTAAACAGCTTCTCTTCATTGTGATGCCCTCTCCTGTCTAGGGACCTGTGAACTGGTAAAATTTTTAGTGAGATGGTGAAGAGGGAAGAGAATTTATTAGCATTATAACAAGGACACATTGTTATTAAGCTAGAAGCTCACACTCTTCACCAAAAAGGTCCTCTCAGATCTTCTCCAGCAGCCAAGCATCCCTTGGATTAGCAGCACTGAGTCCACATAAAGAATAGGTCTTCACATTCAATATTATTACTGTATTAACTTTTAAAGACAATTATCCGAAATAAAGCAGAGTTACAGAGACATCAGAGGAAAACACTTTCACAGTTACAGTACAAATGGCAGATTCATGGTTGGCTTTACCTGCTAGCAGAAGTTGCCCAGGCTTTACGCTACTGACCTTTTAACTGCAGTGGACACAGATCCGATGCAGAAGATGGAGCTGGAGGCACAGTCAGGTAAGATACCATTCCTCAAATTTCTGCTTAGCTCTAAAAGTCACCAGGGCTTACAGTGAATATGCTCAGAATTTGTAGAAGAGATGCTAATTCAACAGAAGCCCTGGTAGAAAGCATTTCTCTGGAAATATATATGTTTTGAAGAATTTTCATTTGTAGACTCTGACAGCAAAGTCCTTCTGGAACCAGATTTCTGTTTGGTTTCTTGAGTGCACAGTTCTCTAATGATGTAAGAACTGTTTTTATATGCTCATATCCRTAGACAGGGCTGAGACCCTTCACAGTTAATATAAGTGATTACGGTTGGGTTTAAGAAACCAATGACTTTGGTAGAAAAAGTGACATCACCTGTGCTGTTAAGACAGAGTAGAGGAACTTTAATGTAATAAATACAATCACTGTGGAATATGCTTCAAAGGCTCCATACACCATCAAATTCTCAAGCCATGTGAGAATGGCAGGGAAAATCATTTTAAAGTTTTGTAATCTTTATAAGCTTACTTTCAAAAATTCTGCATGTTTGTCTAAGCTAAAGGGCAGATTTTGAGGTACATTTGTTTTTCTGTTTGAAAGAATTTAAATTTTGCAGTTCACTACAAAGGAGTTTGACAGGAAGTGCTGAAAAAAGAAATTGGTCACCCCAACACGAACAGGATAAAGCATACAGAAATAGGCATATATTTCTATGGACCTAACAGTTTTCAGCTGCATACAATACAGCTTACATGAAGTAAACTTTCCGAATTTCTTTCTTTCTGAATTTTGCTGACACTTTGCTACTGGCACAGTACAGAAGTTGCATTGTCTGCAAGGCAACACCAAGTCCTTAGTTAGTCTGTGTCTCATTGGCAGGACTGTCCAAGCGGCAGGAGACCCACTGTTTGACGTAACTCCGTGGGAAGTCCTCTCCCTCCTGTTCAAGAGAGATTGACCCGCAGTTGGTCTGACTGTTTTGGTCAAATTCACAGTCCACTGGACTTCCACAGTCTGAGTCCACAAAGCCGCTGTCAATAGTGTCCAAGTCCAGGCAGATCATAGGGTAACTGTCACCAGGCCTTGCACTCTGAGGAAAAAAGTCACAGGAGCCTTCGCTGTAAGAAACACTTTCACCATCAGGAGAAGGCAGAGAAGCTGAATTTCCCAAATCCCACTGATTGGGATGCAAGCAAAGGGCTTCTAGGATACTTCCCATCCCTCTTTCCAGAGCCCTTTCTACGTGTTGGTGGGCTGGGGCACTTGTACTACTTGTGTGATCTGTGGACACAGAGCCTGAGGCAAGTATTTTGTCTTGTGTGCTCAGGTCAGCCAGAAGCAAGTCACTGGATATCTCTCTCTCGTCATCATCAACGTTAACCTTGGGGTAACCAATCTCTCCAGTACTACCATCTTCATCGCTGGTACACTTGTGTCCCCTGTGTACACGGTTACAGTTGCACTGGGAGTTACAAGGTGTAAATTCATCAGCCACAGTCACAGTATCAATGGACAAATGCCCGTATGACTGATCCTGAGTCCCACTGCTACCGTTTACACTGCACAGGTGGGACTGGCTCTCCTGACCTGGGGCAGTCAGGCAAGACATGCAGGGCTTGCAAGGTGGATCCTTTTTCAGCTCACTCAGCTCCTCTTCTGAGGTGCTGTTGGGATGATGCATGCTGTAAACTTCCAGGACTTCCGGAAGAACAATTCCCCATTCAAAGAAATCGAGGGTCATTTTGGTATTGGATGCACCAACCCACTTCTGCATAGAAGGACATACAGGGAGAGAGAAGTTAGTATTATTCTTTGGAAGTTCAAAGAAATGCTCAAAGAGCTTATGTCAGACTCTAAAATCACTGAGGGTCTCAAAGTGGCAAAGGATGTGATGTTACTATTGGGTACCAACAGCTGCAGAATTGGTTCAAATAATTGAAAATGACTAGCTCTAACATCTTTTACACAGCTTTGCAGTTAGTCCTATCTAGATATGAGTGAAGGCACTCTGTKGTTTTTTTGTTTGTTTGTTTGTTTGTTTTTTAACCTAAGAATAAAGATGCTCAGATCTCAGCAAGTTTTCGGCGGTGCAAAAGCCAGGGAGTCCAGGGTATTAGAGCAGCCATGCAGCCCAGAGGCTGGGCACAGCAATGAGATATGGTTCTTCTTTCTGTCCCACACTGGCTTGCTGGATGAGCTGTACCAAGGCTCTTGTTCTGTATGTGCACCTCTTTCTGCTCTGTGTGAAAGAGGTGACTGTGCTGATMCCCATGCATGCTGTGAAGGCCTCTGTCGATGTGCTGTTGAGAGCGGGTGCTGCCGCAGCTTTGGAACTGAATGGTATAAATCTCCATCCCAAATTGCACACAGGGTAGCTAGACAAGAAAGCATGTGCCTGACTCAGCTTGTCATTCTCTGACACTAGCATGGAAAACATGGAAAATCCTCATTACAGCAGGAAACATCAAGTATATTTTAATCTATTTTAAGCCTAAAATGCAAAGAGTGAATTATTAAAGCTGCAGAGGACAGGAAGGTGTCTAGACTGCAAAAGGCCATCTAAAGAAATAGAGAGGAACCCCTTCCATAAATGAGCAGGCAAAAGGTTGCCAGTGTTCTCTTTACAGTTCTTTGCAAATTCCATCCCAATATGAACATGAGAACACATGTGCATAGAAAGAAGAAGACAATGTTCCTCTGTTTTCTCTCCTCTTTTCAAATCTTCAATTTTCTCTGAGATTTCTCCTACTCTTGACCAGCTCAAGACTCCCTGCAGGGCACTGTTATTGTCATTTGCTGATCATTATCCACAGACATTTCTTAGCCGCTTGCTTCGATGAAGGCAGGATGCAACTGAACGCGCCCTAGATCAATTGGCTTTTTGCCAGCTGATAATGAGGACTTAGTTCACATATTAGTGAGGCCACCACATCCTCTTTACACCCCCTGCCTATGCATCTTGTGCTGTGGCTGTGTGGGTGACTGCTGCTTTAATTTGCAAATTTATTGAATTTCCCAGAAGGACTTCAGCTTTAGCATTATTGTAATTGAGGCACATTCTGTCCCAACAGCCCTGAACAGCCTTATTAAAAACTAGCAAAACTATCATTCCAGCTAAGCAGGGTGAAGACGAGGAGTTCTTTGAGAGGAGCATTAGAGAGTGGTTTGGTGCCAGTTGTGTTAGAGGAAAGTGCAAGATCCCCCATGTGCGGATGTGGGAAGCCCTGATGGGCCTAAAAAGGGAAGACAAACATGAAGTAAGACAGGCTGCAGTTTGAACAGTGCCCATCCAGGACTTGCTGCTTAACCCATTTGCAAACCTCAGCCATGCAGCAGTGGCAAAGTAGGTGAAGATCATTACGACCCAGCTAGTGTTCCTCTCCCACAGTGTCTAAGAAAAGGCAGAAAGAGAAAGCAGACACTGAAATGTTGCAGAGTTGCAGTAATGACAGGAACCTGTTCAGAAAGAAAAGATAGTGATGTTCACGCTCATGTGTCAGAATTTTTCCAATTTGATCATGGCATTGAGGGTTGATATCAGCTTGATATGAAAAACATTGATGGATGCTTAATTTTTTTTGCTTTTGTATCCTAAGAACTCCAGCAAACCCTCTAGTCTTTGTGAGGCATTTTGCCACATGAGCTAGTGCTAAGGGGGAAGCACATTTGGGAAGGCCAGACAGAGTTATTCACAAAGACACTTCCCTAACAGGACAGCAGCTTTACATACAGAACCATCACAAGCTAATTATTAGCCCCTAAAGCACTAACCATGTTTCCAGAATGACTCTATGAGGGACTTTCCAGAGAGGACAACAGGGGTTATTTCTGAGTTTGTGTCACTGCAGAAACTTAGTGAAAGCTCAAGCCCTACACTGCCTGCACCTGATGATGCCATGGGACTGAAAAAAAAAATCCCAGATATTGCTTTAAGACCCCTTCACTCATTCCCTTGGGGATCCCATGCTGCACACATTACACATGCAGCTCAGCTCACCCACCATGGCAGCACCTATGGGGGATGAGCAGAGCAGGTCTGTCCACACAGAGTAAACTGGATGGCTCTGGTACATTGACATTCTCCAGGAGAAATTCTTCCTCCCATGCTATTAATGAGAATCCCCTGCCCAGGATAGCATGTTGGACTTTTTAGTTTAACTTTGTCATGTGCTCCACAGACTTACGTAGCCCATTTATACCTTGAAATCCCCATTATGCACCAGGTAAAGGGGTTTAAAAAAGGCAGCAGGGTCTGGGATGCAAGCCATCTTCTTCCAAAAGCTGGAAGGAAAAAGAGAAAAGCTTTGGAGTTTAGCACACATTACATGTCCAAACCAAGGCATCCCCAGAGAAAAGCAAGGTGCACTTGCCCATACAGGAACCAGAAGCCATACTTCTCTGGCAGCTGTGCCTGGTTGCACCAGATGCAGACAGCTGCACGTGAACACCTCATCTTGATCAGGACAGAGCAGGAGCATTTGCCCTAGCTCCTTCAAGGGCTCTTACCTCTGCTGCTTGGCCAGAAAGGCTGCGATTGAGGCAGTGATCATTGCGGCAACACCAAAGAGCAGCAGCCATCCTGTGTCTGCTTTCTGTGTCACTACTGGACAAAAAGACCTGGTCATTCAGATTAACCCCGAGTTTCTACCCTAATCAGTAAGCAAGAGATGATGAGGAAAGATGATCAAGCTTTTCATCAGACTTTTCCCTAGGACATGGAGGCTTTTATCCGGAGCTCAACCCTCCCCACAGCTGATGGCAGCACTGAACACCAACAGCTGAGCTACTTGCACCAGATCTTCCTTATCTCTGACAACTGTAGCCTGCCCGACACTGGAAAGGGAGTCAGAGACTGTGCTCCTGCTGTGGCAACCAAATCTACAACCAGTGCCAAAAACTTTTCTCTGTTGGGCCTTTCCATAACATAGGCTGTGCAGCATGGTGAGAAGGTGAGTCCAGACAGCACATAGCTGTCAGCACAAGCCAGGAGCTCATGTGTTCAGTAAGCAAGCCAAAGGGCACACCTTTCTTCACTAGGTTGTTTAGCATTTGATCTAATTAGTCAGCTTTGATTAGATTTCTGGAATCGTTGASTTTAGACCAGCAGGGAGAACGGGCGTAACATACCGTCAGGGCTGGTGGTCAGCATCAGCGGAGGACTCCAGTCACTCCAAAATCCATGGTAGCCAGTGTCCTCTCGGGGTTTAGCTCGCACCTGGAACTCATATTCAGTGTTTCCCTGGAGTTCCTGTGGCAGGATGACCAGTGTCCGCTTATCCTCACGGACAGCTTTAGTCTTCTGAGTCTAAGAACAATGAACAATCAAACACCAAACAGGCTGCA